AGTCTTGTGTCCATTAGCTAAGTCCTTTGTATGTGTCCCATCACTTATTCATGATCATCTAGATCAATCTGTTGAAAAGTGCATTTATCGAAACTTAATCCTGGCTTTGTCTGGATTGCAAAGCCCTTTCTAGCCCAGTCTCTGCTGCCTGGTTTCCAACCACAAAGCCCACTGAGGCTGGGAAGAGAGCTGGCTTAGTGCAATGCTGCTTCCAAGCCTCGGAGTGTATGGATCTATTGCCAGGAAAAACACAAAGCTTGGATGCCTCGTGTCCACTGAACAGCCTCAGTGTGCCAGGAGAGCAAAGGGATGTATATACTCAATACCGATAGCTGAAAAAACACCCACAGAGATTTTTGGCTTGGACTCACAGTGCAGGGGCATACATTTCTGAGCTGTCCCTGCCCCTTGAAGAATGGCTGCAGCAGCGATTTGGGATAGTAACCCAAACCGAGGCGTTACAAGAGCCTCTTGTAGCCTTGTGTTTGCACGTAGATCTAGGAGAGCCATGTTCATGCACAAAAAAACCATGAACAAAACATTCTGTAATGGAAGTGGTAGACAGTTGTGAGCATGTTTCATACGCTGGAAGGTATATTCCAACCAAAAGCACTTTTCCTCTCTGAATAATTCCTGGAAAATTGATGTGCCCATCCTGGTTGTAGCCTCTGACGAGCATGTTGCTCCTGGGAGTTACACAGGTTTGGGCACAAGTTGAAATGGGGCACAGGAGTGCCGCTGGAGAGAGGCGACAGTGCTAGCTCCCTCCTCAAATTCCATACAGCTGGGACAGCTCTTTCTTGCTTGTGCCCAGGAAGAAGCAGTTTCCAGAAGTGAGAGGAGCATGAAGCTTCAAAGGTAGTCCTGGCTACACAAATAAGAGGAGAGCAAGATGTGGCGATGTGTTTCTGAGGTGTGGTACAGTTGCAGAGCAGTGGCTTGCTCGTGTCAGTCCCCAGACGTGACTCCTGCTGGGCTGGGATGCTCTGGAGAGGCAAAGGCATCTGCAAGTAGAGTTTTTCTGCATCTCATCCTATGGAGCTCTCTTTGCATTCAGTAGCAGGAAAGCTGATGAGGAGATTGCACCTAGTGGTGCCTACACACTCTGCTTTAATGCGTGGGTGCTTTGTTTCTACAGTAAGGGTTGTGCACTGCTTATCTACCTCTGTGCCCCTTCCCTGGGGTACAGTGGGCAAAATCTCACTTAGCCTTTCCCTTCTGACACAGCGTACTGCGTCTGCGGAGATACCGACACAAGTGTGTGAATGCGAGAGGTAATTTCTGGTATCAGTCGTTCTAAAAAAAATACAGAAGACCAAGGAAGTCTGTGGCTTCAGTTAATTTCTTGATATCACGGACACCGGAAAGTGTTATTTATTTCCAAGTTTATGATCCCAAAGTGCCAGGTGTTCCATGAACAGAGAAAAAGGACAGTTTACTGTGCACAATGGAAGACATCATGGTGTAAGAGTGAGGCAGTGTGGATGAAACAGTGCTCTCAGTATGCAAGTAACTTTATTTTTTAAATTATAACCCCACATTATGGGATCAGTTTTCAGGATTGTGCTTTGCTATGCACTTTGTGGCAAGGGCAGTTCGTTGATAGATTGTCACTGAGGCCATAGGAATGAGGATGCTGGTCTCTGAGAGTTTGTTTAACATCCGAGCAACGTTCCCTTGATACAGGAATTCTGGTACATTACTACTTTATTCTTTCTTTCAGTACCTGCTGTTCTTGCTTCACTTAAAAGCAAAACAACCCCCCTAATAAACTCCTAGTTAAAAGAAGAATTGCAAAGGAATGAGCTGTTCTTATTGTATGAGGGGCTCAGGTTAACTGCCATCAGTATTTAGCCAGCTTTATTTGATGGGAAGCAGTTAAACAAAATTACAGCTCTGCTGTTCCTTACCTATCTTTTAAGTCGCCCTTTTCAAATCAGTGATTGCTTGTTGCTTCATCTTATTCAACTGTTTTGTCTCTGGATGCAGGTGAGCACTTCTGTATCCCATTTTGAAAATGAAAGGGGTTTGTTTGTTTGGATTTTTTTTTACGTTTATGCTAGGAGAGCTGTTCTGTGGTGTCCCTTGCAGCTGGGACACCCTCCCAGCCCACCAGGTCACTGCTCTGCAGTGCTGGGCTGTTGTGTTCTGCTTTGCTGGCCTTGCTGCTCCCATGGAAGTTCAGCCTTTGCTGCCTGGCAATTCTTGGAAGTTTTCTGCTCAATTTAATCCTTTCAACTGATCAATGAGATGTGTGGTATCGGGGGAGAGGGGAGTGATGTGAGGGCAGCCTCTCTGGTGTCACCACCTGCTTCTGTGTTTAGTCAAGGCTTTTTGGGGAATTTCATGTTTAGAAAAAAAAGGGCTGATGGAAGGAGATGCACTAAAACAAACTCGGCCTTTCATGAAGTGGGGGCTGTGCTGGGCAGAAGTTACAAAAATTATTTGCTCTGTGGTTCCTATCCCGGCTCCCTCAGCGTGATGTTCCTTTTGGAAACAACATAAATGGGTGCAATTATTCTACTGGGCAGAGGCAATTGCTGTCGTAAAAACTGAAGTAAGTAGTTCTGGGCAGCTGAAATGCCACAGTGCCTACGATTTTCATCGTGTTGCCTTCTACTCCTTAACAGCACACAGAAGGATCTGCCATAACCCTGTAGGAAATGGTGCAATACTGTGCAGAAGAACCAGGTCTCCTTTTGGGAATATTTGTTACTGCTTCTGCACATGGACTTCTTCTGGCAAAGGGGTCTGTGTCAGTCTGGACTTCCTGATAATTCCCAGGTGTTGAAGCTACCAGAGGGATCTCGTTCTCCATCTCCCCTCTGTTTCCCTCATGCCCATCGAGTGTATCCTGCATGTCAGGTTATCAGATGCCTCTATCTCCAGGCTAATTTCTGAGCTCAGGAAGTGGATAATGTGTAACCTGGACCCTCCTGGTCTGCAGGGACAGACCACGTAGGATTCTGTGAGCATGGCACTCTCCTAATGCTGGGGGGTGTGTGTGCTGTGACACTGGGGTGCAGTGGGTGTGGGAGGGTGTAGGCCTGGCTCCTGATTTAAACCCCCTTGCCTGCAGGCTCTCATCTGTGTGCTCCTGGGTTACTGGTGTCTGAAGGCACTGAAATGCAGTGCTGGGTATGAGTATCAACACTCAGTGTGTTGGAAAAAGCTTTCTTTCATCCCCCAGTTGGGAGCTCTAGATACAACTTCACCGTTTACTTGCTCTGCTCTATGCTGTGACTGTGGTAGAAGCCTCTGGTGAAAAGAGCATAAAGATCTTGTACTACATGCTTGCTTCTCATATGTTTATGCAGAATAGTCAGAAAGTGATGTGGGAAATGGTTGATTTCTCAAGAGCAGTATCTTGTTCACTTTGTCTCAAGCATCAAGACTTTCAGAAGATGTAAGAGGACGTTTCGAAGACCTCTGTATAGTTCCTCAAAATTTGTATTCAGTACATTGCTTACCAGCTCTCTGGGATCTTGAAGCTTAAATCTGTAACATAAGAAGGCATTTCTTTCTGTTGCTATTGTGCGCTGGCCACGAAGGTGCTTTTTGCAGACCATCTTTGGGTTTAGGTGCTGATCAGATGCACTGATGCTTTTCATTCACTTGGTGAGGGGAAATTAATCAACCTGCTGTGGAAACTCTGGAGCAGACCACACCAGCAAAGCTAGAATTATGTATGCTTTTTTTAATGCCAATGAAACCAGTTCCTTTGTTGGGAAGACTGGAGGTTGACCATTAGGTGTATCTCCTACAATAAGGAAAATCCATTAAAGTGGCTAATTTTAAAAAAACAACACACCTAAACTAAAATAAATCATTAAAAATAAAATTAGTGTTCCACATACTATATAATGTAATATAGAAATACTATTGCATCTTTTCAAACATAATAAGCCTATAAGCAAAGAGCTAATGGTGCTGATGGGTTTAAGAGGATAGGAAAGGCTTTTATAATCAATAACTTAGGGGCAGAAAACAAATTAGGAAGAAAGTAGGTCTATGAATCGATGAAAAGCAGGATGGCCTCAGCCTTACTCAACAGTTCAGCACTTTGGCTTTTCTCAATACTTATGTAAGCAGAGTTTATGTGACTTCTGTGGGAATGCATGGAACAGATTAGTTTGCAATAACTGAGATGTGGTGTGTGACGTTATGCCTAATGCTGCATAATCGCAGGCCACGCTCTCCCTGATGTGCCTTTGTGCTCCGGCTCTTCCCTTGGTACCGGGTCCCACAGTCAGACAGGGCAGAAGAGGCCAACCCTGCAAACTGATTTGCCATGTGTGTAGGTGAGGTATGAGATCTGCTTGCCCTGCGGATCCCTGCACATGTGTTACCAAAAATCTTGGTGCTCCGGGTTGCCTTGAGAGACACTGAGCCATTTAAGGTGATGTAGCATGTGTGAAACTATGTACATCAGGGCCATGATATATACATCAGTGTATATATACATCAGAGAAACATGTAAATCATATCATTTAGCAAAGGAAACTCTTGCAGGAGAGGCAAACAAACCTCCATGAAGTCTACTTAGCTGTTGCGGATGTTTTCTGGAAGCATTTTGACTTACAATGATGTGTGGGTGTATGAAATGGTAAAAGTGCTTTATTTACATTTTCTATTATTATTATAGCATGACTTTTAATGACTGACTATTCTAAGTTTGAAAATATTGAGACAGTTGAACCCATTATTCTGCATGTTTGCATGTTTCCATGACTCCTTCTATAAAAATTGATGCTTCCTCATGTTGGTTTCCGCAGGAAGCTGATTAAAACTGCTTTTTCTTCCTCTCGTGTTACATTAAAAAAATCAAAACCAGTTTCCGAAAATGGAAGTAGGACTTCCTAAAAATTTTAAGCAGCTCTAACTTGGAAGTAGCCTTTGAATACTTCAACTTCTCTCTGCTTTCCTTAGGTATTTGTACCCCATGTGCAGATCTTGCAAGCTTCAGATTTTTCTAACAAGAGGTCTTCTGGTTTTTGCAGGGTGCCAGGGTATGGCTGCGGGAGCAGGACCAGCTGCAGCCATGCACTGTTGGCTCATGCACAGATGGAAACGTGATCCTCACCTCAGATTATGGCTTGGTAAGTGAAGTTTGCGTGAGGCTGTAGCATACACCAAGTTGCAAGATGGACATTTTGGTCTTGCATGACCTTCATGGTAAAAGGAACTGAAGTGTTGCAATTCTGTCTGAAAAGTGACCTGGCTCTGTTACAAACCGTGCCAAAGGTCTAAAAAAGGTTAAAAAGAGAAGACTGTTCTCTTTTTGTTATTTGTCTGCCCACCTCACTTTGCTTGGCTTTTCTTTTCTTGTGCCAGCTTTGAGGGAGTTGCACTAACAGCCTAGCAAAACCATTATACTGGCAAAATTCTCCGAGGAAGGAGGCATCTCCACCAACCAAGCAGCCCTTTCTGCTGAGATGTGCTTCTTGCAAGCTGTGCTGCTGAAAAGGCTGTTGTGCTCACCACCATCTGCTTTGACTGCTTTTGCCACCAGCCCTTTGGGTCAGGGACAGGTGGCAGTGAGCACTTTGTAAGTGCAGCAGCCATGCATGGGACAGTTCAACAAGGCAGCTGAGCTCCTCTGAGAGCAGAACTCGCTGCCAGCGATAGGAATCAGGTCTTTTCCCTGACACATTTCCAGCCCCCATGTTCGCTGTGGTTCCCTGGCGTGCCTGCTGCGTTGCTCCTGGAGCGATATTGGTGGGAAGGGACCTCCTGAGGGTCATTCAAGCCCTCAGTGAGTCAGCTCAGCTCCCTGACCCTGGGAAAACCGTTCACTGCCTTCACTGAGGTTCTTGGTGAGTCAAACTGGTGCCTGGGCTGGGAGGAGGATGGGGAAATGGGCAGGACCATGCCCTCCAGCCATGAGCAATTAGATTTGCTCAGCTCTTTTGGTGAATGGTGCTCTGCAGGCAGCTTCTTTGTTACAGGTCTTTTTTTTTTTTTTAAGCTTCTTATCTGACAAAGGAGAGTACAGGGGGTAAAAGGAATTTTAAGACTCCAGTTTGTGGAGAGTCATTGTCATATTTTATAGTCTTGCTTTGGAAAGCCTAGATTTGAGGGTGGTGAGACCCTGGCACAGGTTGCCCAGAGAGGTGGTAGAAGCCCCATCCCTGGAAGTTTTTAAGGCCAGGCTGGATGGGGCTCTGGGCAACATTGTCTAGTGGGGCATGTCTCTGCCCGTGGCGGGGTTGGAACTAGATGATCGTTAAGGTCCCTTCCAACACTGACAATTCTATTCAAATCACCATTTGTTTTTAAAGAGCCTGGTTTATTTCTCAGGGTTGAGTTTTCAGACTGGCTACTCTAATCCCTCAAATCCTTTTACTGAGGAGTTGCTTCATTTTGGGAGTGTTGGATAGTCACTAACTCATTTTTAAGAGATCGCAGGGACATTTATCACAGGTAATGCAGCAACCTGTGGAGGGCCAACAAATGGTGAGTACTTCTGTGACTCTCTCAGACTTGTTTCTTGTGATACACTGCTGTGGTCCCAGAAAATTGTCTGAACCCATCTGACACCTCTGAAAGGACACCAGAAATCCCAGCAGAGAGCCAGCTGAGTGCCTGCACCCACCATCAGCCTGTGTCCATGTGCACAGTAATGCTGGGGGAAGTCACAGGTCTAAAAGAAGCTGGATTTGGGTTTTTACCTCCATGAAAGAAGAAGCCACTAGGCTGAAGGAGCATGTGCTTCATGGTTTATGCAGAAAGAGCTCATGGTGATCATTAAAGGGCTTTTCTTATGCAGTGTCCTCCACAGTAGCTGTCCTCTGTGCTTCCCTCACCCACATCCTTCATTGCTTTGTAACTGTCGGAGGGACTGACTGTCCTACCCCAGGTGAAAACATCTTTGCTTTACTTTGGGTTGGATGGGCCAGTTGGTCCCTCTGATTTCAGGATCTTTTTGCTGTGGCCCAGCAACCCTGCAGCTCTTGGAATTTGAGGTAAGGAGGACAGTCATGCTTCAGAGCTTTTGCCATTTGTTTTCACTTCCTCAAAAACACCTCAAGCAATAAATGCCTCAGAAATATGACTTCCTGGGAGGAAAGGAGGAGCTTACACTTATGAAATACAAGTTTGGAAACCGCAGTCCAGACAGCCCGGCCAAATGCTTTAGGGATAAATGTAACTTAGATGCTGGGTGGGAGCTTTGTTCATGTGCTCGGGGTTGTACTAATAGATGGATTTGAAGTTGAGAAGGAATCGTTTCTCCCCTGCTCTGCCTGGTAACCAGGGTTAGTAGTTCTCATTTTGGCATGTCTGCTGGCCAGGTTTTGCTTTATTCCTGACCATTGCAGGGGTTTGGAAAGAGTGCTGGTTGTTTTGTTCTGTCCGTGGGCTAAATCTGATACAAAATTGCTTTATAACTGAGGAGAAAGTAGAAAACTTCGGCTGTATTGTGAGGTGCCTGGGTTGTATTTGATAGCTTGTTTGTATTTGGGCTGAAAGCTGATGGGTTTTCTTCCCAAATAATAAAGATCTACTTATTAACACCTATATCTTTTTGTTTAAATGTTAACTTGCTGGGAAAGAATATTTCAGAAGCAACTCTGCTGAGAGATCAGTTTCTCTGTGTTCTCAGGTGCTTCAGGCAAGATCAGCCATCATACTCAGCTCAGTAGTACAAGCTGCTGAAGCCAGCCTGGCTTATCTTACCAGGAACAGGATGATGGGGAGGATGTTCCTCCAAACTGTTCTCCTAGCAGATTGCTGGAGGGGTCCAGAAGTGAGCAGTGGAGTAACAAGAGCCTCTTTGCTGGCGTGCCTGCAGTTCCTCCAAACTGTTCTCCTAGCAGATTGCTGGAGGGGTCCAGAAGTGAGCAGTGGAAAAGGATCTGGCGGGCCTGGATCATTACAGCACCTTGCAACCTTTAAGAGTTGGGGAGTTGTCATGTCTGGGTCATGTTTGTACGTCAGAGCACTTTTGACACAACCTTGGGAACAAAACCCCACCACATGTTCATCTCTGGGACCCTGGATGATCCCTGAAGCTTTTTGGTGATACAGAGACTGGAAACTTGTCTCTACCCTGGAGGGCAGAGGACAAATGAGAAGTCAACTCTCTTGCGGTGCCAGGGAAGGCTCAAAACCTCTCCTGCATGCCACAGGTGCCTTCCAGAGGCACAGAGACCTCACCTCCCAAATCTCAGTGGGGCTGGAAGTCCCAGACTCTGCCTGAGGAAGGGCGAGCTGCTGAGGAAGGGGTGCAGTGATGGGCAGTGGTATTTTGTGAATGTCCCCAGCCTCGTGGACAGACAGGTGACATCTTGGCCTTGGCTAGGTTGTCAATGTGGCATCACACCGCTCCTCCAAGGAGTATTTGTCACCTGTGCAGTGCTTCTGTCCAGAGGGTACCAGAGCTAGTGCTCCTCATCCAGCTTTGCCGCAGTCCTGCCAGAACACCTGCTTAACTCTCTGAGGATCTCAGACCAGATTGGGTTTTTTTAGAGAAGGATGACTGAATAACCCCAACCAGGCACTTCAAGACATATTTAACAGGTGATGATCTAATTCCTACTAATCATTTGGTTGTGTATTTAGAGCCCGTGTTGCTCTGAGGATCCCATTTTCTCTCGCGCTGTCTACAAGAGCAAGTAAACTAGCTCAGACCCATCACACTGTTATTTTTCATGCATAGCAGCCTCTTGGCACAGGTGCCTCCAGCCACCTGGTATCTTTTGGGACACTTGTCCACTCAGCTTTTTCCCTTGATGTTTTCTTAATGTTTCTCTTCTGGCCCAAATGGCCACAATTGCTGACAGTGCAGTGGTAAATGAGTAAGTGCCAGGTAGATGTAAAGAAAGATCTTATTGTACCATTTTGCAGTTGGCTCTTTCCAAAATTTGTCCAAGTCAGCAGAGAAGAGCGTGCCAGGGTGGTTTGCTGCCTCATGGTTTGAAAGTGCTGTAGTGGCTTTGCTCCTGACAGAGACCGGCTCATGTCATGCATCTGCAGCTTGTACTCTCCCCTAAATTTAGTTGTCTCATTCTCCCTTCCTGCTCCCACCGTTCTGTTGTGGAGGTGCCTGAGGCCTCTGCTCTGAAGAAGAAGCAAAAAAGAGATGTGTGGTTTTTTTGGGCAACACTTGCAGAGGAGGGGTCCTGCTGCTGGCGGTCACACCTGCGATACGCAGGTGCAGAAGTGGTGTGAAGAAGAGCAGAGAGACCTGGAGAGAGCCTGTGCGCTGGAGCAGGCTTCATGGTGTTTGTGAAAGCCTCCTGGTTGTTAAGAAAATTGGGCTGTGGAGCAGTGTCCCAGTGGAAGAGACCAAGTCCTTGTCATGTTAGGTGTTCCTGGTGCGAACACACCTGGGGAAATGAGCCTGCTTCTCCTCACCAGCTCCCTCCAGGAACAGAGCTGCCGTTGGGATTGCGCAGGCTCCTGCAGGCGTCCTTGGTGTAGAGGGGGAGTGTCTCATACAGGGATCCTGTGCCGGGTTGTTCCTTCCCGGCCCTGGCAAGGCCGCAGGCTCAGAGCTGGGAAGGGGTGCTGGCCGGGCACCTGCGATGTGCTGCAGCGGCAGCAAGTGCCCTACAAGGGTCTCCCGAGGGTGTCTCACTGGAGGGGGCAGGGTGACCTCATTCTGTCTTCAGCCTGCAGCTGCCTGCATGGCCTCTCCCGCACAGTTACTGCAGCCCGAGGACTCCCAAGAAAGCAGACGGGAGGAACCAGCTAGATCAGTGCTCTAGATCACGGTTCATTCTTGGTGGAGTCCATCAGTTTTTTGCTGGCACCAGGGATGGAAATAAGGTAGAGACCAGAGCCCTGGAATGAAAGGAAAACCCCAAGTTCCTGTGGAAGTTTCACCATGGGCCAGTTTGCTTCTGCAGGCTGCCTGTATGAAGTCTCCCATCTGTCTATCTTGAGTATTACCATCTAGTGCAGCTTGGGATGCTGGTTGGGAGATGGCACATGGTTGAATCCAAGAGTGGGAAGCAACTGAAATAACTTTTGTGAAATGCCAGCATCGTGCTTGAGGAGGAGGAAAGGAGGGATGTGGCTATGGTGGAGGGAAACAGTCACATAATCTCAGCTGTGTTGAGAGGGGGTGAAGGAGATGACCTGATAGCTGAAGAGTAGGTTATTGAGGAGGAGGAGCAAGCTGTAGCAGAATGAAGTCAGTTGAGGCAAGAAGAGTGCAACTGCATAGAGAGAGGTGGATACTTGTCACGTCCCATGGTTCTGAGGATGTTGACTCACTTAGGTTCCCAATTCCCAGGCCAGGGTTAAGGTGACTTACACCAAGGATCCAACCAGCAATTTTATTTCTCAATCACCTAACAACGAGCTATTTGCAACTGCCCACTCAGCGCAACCAACACGCTTCACAACAACAAGTCACCAGCAAGCAAAAGAACCCGGCCTTGCCATAGATAGCTTCCTGTTAAAGCTAGAAAGAGAGAGAAGGAAAGCGATAGGAAAAGGAAAGATCACCACCCTTGGATCCAGCGGCGACCACGGCACACGCAGCCATCTCGGAGTGGTGTGCAAAAAAAGCTCACAACTGCCCGGGGTGAGCGCCTTTTATGCAGTCAAGGTCCCATCACAGACCGGCAACAAGTTTGGGGTATGGTGG